TATGAAAATAATATAACTCAAATATATATATAAAGGCTCCAATTTTGATTAGGAATTAGCAGGCTTGAACATATTTTTTATCGAATAAATAACTTGACCTTTGAAAAACAAATTATTATTGCCTCTTTCGCCTAACCTCATATACCTCAGAACTGTACTAATTTGTATGCCTCTAGAAACTTTAGCATACCACATTGGCCCTGTCCATCTAAAGTACCTCCCTGCTACTAGTTATCTATCTTTATCTTTCTCCTGAGGTAGAAACGATATATGACAGTGTATATTCTATTGATTTTGATAAGGTTTCTTAATATATATATGCATATTTTGCTATAAAAGAAAAAATTAATAATACTAGAAAATACATATTTCAAAAAAAAATACATACCAATAATTTATTTATGGTTTTAAACCATATAATAATTTTTTTTAATGTTAAGTAAGGCATTTCTCATGATATTTATTAATATAGCAAAATGAATTGTTACATTATTAATATATTTCTACTCCTTATTATTCTCAAACTTCTTGTGACTCTACTTCTGATGTGGTTCTTAGAATATAATAAAAATTCTTATAATATCGAGAAGAGTTCTTATACTTTGTTTTCAATAAAATTTCTTCTAAATCTATTTTTATGAAAATAGATTTATATTGTTAATTAAAGTATAATTCACTATTATCTTTATTTTGTCTAAGGCAGATGTTTTCTTATTATCAATTTTTATATTTTTGTTCTGTCCAAAATGGATACAATTATTTCTTTATTTGGATAAATCTTTCTTTATTACTTTGCTATTATCTATATTTTGTTTCTTTTAGCAATATATACCTTGTTATATATAATATCAAAATAAAAAAATGATGTTTACCTACTGGAAAACCCTTTACAAAAAAAGAATACAATAATATAAAATGTTTAGTAATAAATAATAGAATAATCTATATAAATAGTCCAATATATTTATATGAGAATTTTGAAGAATAATTTGAAAAATTAATGTTATTGAAAAAAATAATTATAATGATATTATAAAAAAGAAAAAAGTATAAAAAAGAAGTTATGAAGAATGATCATTACAAGTCTTTTCTTATATAACTAAGAAGTAAAAAAGATTCTCAAATCTGTTTACTGCTTAATTAGAGGTTTTATTTCAATATAACAGTGAGTTTTAAACTTTTTATATTTTTAGCTTATAGGATATTCTTAAAAAATAGAGAGAAAAAACACCTTTTAAAAAAAAACATCATAAAAAGAAAATTTCAAGAGATCAAAAATGAATAGCCAAAAGTTTTTTATTTAAATTATTTTATTATAATTTAATTTTTTTTAATATAAACATATTTATATTTTTTTATATATTTTTAAATTTTGAGAATAAAGTTTATAAAATTTACTTAAACTTAATTTTAAATAGTAACATTAAGTTTATAATTTAAAATAAATAGTTTTTTAGATTTTTTTAAATAATAAATTATTAAAAGGTTATAATTAATAGTAAAATTTTTTTTTTAAAATATAAAAGTTTGATAAAAAAACATATAGATATTAACAACAAGAATTTTATAATAAAAATTTTAAAATAAATTTTGAATTAAAAATAGAATATATTTTTGATAATCTGATATATTAAATAATTAATTATTAGATTTTTTAAAACAGTAAAAAGTTATTTATGCTAAAATTAAAATTCATATTTTTTTATTCAAATTTATTATATAAACTAGTAATTAATAATAAAATATTTCAAGATTAATATATATTTTTTTAATATAAAAACTCATAAGTTTCAAACAAATACTTATTTATTAAATGATATGATGTATTAATTAAGATATAGTATTTTAATATTTTTAAAAATTAAAAATTCAGAAATTTAAATTAATAAAAAAAATCACATAATTAAGTAATATCATATGATATATAAAATTAAGGATTATGTTTTTTAGGTTAATAAAATTATATCTTAAATTTTGATTCACTTTCAAAAACATAAATTGTATAATTATTATAAATCAATTAAAATTTAAAAATATATTGTATATCATTGACTTATTATTATTATTTTGAATAATAATATAGCTTGAAACAAAGTATAAAATAATTTTTATTTTAAACTTATTTTATCTTTAAATTTTTAAATTATAATTATGTTGCATACTGTGTATAGTAATTGTGTTTTTGAACATTCGGATCAACACCAAAAGTAGATCTATTGAAGCCAACCTAATGTAGTAATCAGAAATTGCAAATAAATAATCAAGTTAATATAAATTATTTGAAAGTAAAAAATGTTGTCTCGATCAACATATTTAATTAGTCAAATAATGGTATTTATTCATTGAACGAAAATACACTTTTTATCTATTGTATTTAATTACTAGCAAATAACGTTTCGCACAAATGATTAATCAATGATGATAAGATTACTATGGATTTCTATATTAATAGTCGAGAACCTTTCTTGATCAATAAAATCTAAAAAAAAAAAAATGCATAAGCATCAATAATAAAATTAGTAATCACCTAAATATTTGCAGCACGAGTTAACGGAAGTTATGCGGAAAAATATCTTGTAGGAACCTTGCTTGAACCGCTACGTAACACAAAATTATATTCGGAATTAAATTCTTCCAGTGTTTCCAAATGGGGCAATAATTATCAAATGGTCTCAACATTCCCCCGACATTTCTTCATAGTAAACCCGTTACATAATCACTGTGGAGTATTTCTGATTGGAGTAGGGTTTTCCCGTAATTGGCTTTGATACCGTAGTGGTGAAAATTACAATATTGAATATATACGTGTATATAAAGAGGCATTGTTGAGCTAACATTTTTTTTTTATCACAAACTCGATGCATTCCTATTATTTGTAATTTATAGCTCGTATCTCTTATTAAAAATATTGCCTTATTATATCAAGGTTATTGATAATTCATGATTTGCGTATACCTTTGTACACGCGTGTAAATATATTCAGAAAAAGAAGCAAAAGGTAAAAGAGACGCGATGTAAATATTATTCATTTTATTTTTATTACAAAACATGATTTTACTAACAAATATTTGATTTAGCTTTTTCATCGAGAATCATGCTTGACGAAGATTTAAATAATGGTAAAAGGCGACGAGTGGCCAGGGCTTGCGATAGTTGCAGAAGGAAAAAAGTTCGCTGTGATGGTGTCCAGCCCGCATCCGATCCACCGTCCTGTACTAATTGCAAAATATATGGACAAGAATGGTACTTTACAAAATAATCTAAGGAACACGTGTATTTAAACCAAATTGTTGATTACTTATATGTACCATATAGTTCTTTTATCGATGCGCCCAAAAAAAGAGGACCACCAAAGGGTTACGTTGACGCATTAGAAACAAGACTTCAACGAATAGAGTCAGTCATCAATGGATTAGTGCAATCAGGAAGATTGCACGAAAGTACGGTTCGCTCAGCCCTCTCGCAGGCTAGTGAATCCTCTCGGGGATTACAGAAGTCACCATTGCCAGCACCTGATGCACAACCTGTATCTAAGTCGTTATCATCATCTGATGTGCAACTCACGTCTTTAGAAAATTCACCTTATGCCAGTAGCAGCGAAGAAGAATTCACCAGTGATAGCAATGGATCTCAAAGTGATGTGAACGAGTATGATCAACTTGCAACAGATGAAAGAGGTAATATGAAATATATAGGAAAAAGTTCGGGTGCCTATGTATTTACCAAAAAGATTGTCAGTCGCCATATCATCGTTTGTGATGATCTCAAGCCTCCGAAAAGATTAGCAGACAAGAGAATTCTCTCGGAACTTCCATCAAGAAAATTATGCGATCAAATGTTAGATATGTATTGGAAAAAATATTCCTTTCATCCTCCTCTCATCGATAAGCAGGATTTCATGGAAAAGTACAATAATATGGACGCAAGTTATGATCATATTATACTACTCTACGCCATCCTCTCTACTGTTTCTATGATGGTCGACGATAACGCCGATATTTCTTCCGCTTCAGGTATTAACGCATACATTATTAACATGCCATATTAATCACGTGATTTTAAAGTAACAGTAACATGTTTTGATATTTCTGAAAGGCATAAATTTTTATAGTCGTACGTATGAATTGCTCAAGGAGGAATTTGATTATTCAACCTTGTCCATCATTCAAGCATTATTGTTGTTGTCCTGGCATCATAAAGAACGGCTCAATTCACAAACCTGGATATTTACTGGGTTGGCCATTCGCCTCGCGCAAGATATGGGGTTACATCGCGAATCTTTAAATGAAAATTTTAACGAAAGGGAAGCAGAAGTTAGGAGACGCGTGTGGTGGACATGCGTTACATTCGATAGTTTTTTAAGCATCGCTTTAGGTCGACCACTCGCTATTAATGAAGAGGATCACGACGTACGCTATCCAGAACCCGGAAAGCTACTTAACGACCTACCAGATTCTGTCGAATTATTTATTCAATACATCAAAGTTAGTTTGACCATTTCTCAAATATCTCGGAGAGTTTATGGTGCAAACTCCAAGCGAACGGAATCGACTTTGGTAAGACTGGATGCAGAACTTAATAAATGGCATGATAACATCCCGCCTCGGTTTCTATACGATCGTCAAAAAAAAGTATCGGAAGATGCCTCATGCATCATGGCTTTGTTCATTAATTTGATATATCACACAATTCAAATTATTCTACATCGCCCATATATTCGTTGTCCAAAATCAAGAACTCCGCCTTCATCTATTCCGTCGCTTACCATATGCACTGTGGCTGCAAGCAACATCACCCATATCATGTATCGCGTAATGAAAGAGAGAACCGGAACCTTTAATTACAAGTGGAAATTCATGGAGTTCACTTTCTTTACTGCAGTGACAATGCATATCATAAATGCTCTGAGTGACGATGAAAGATTCAGAGAAGTAGCGAAACAGGGATTGAGGATGAGCATAAAATGCGTGGAATTTATGAAGCCTGACGCGAAAAGGGCAGCAAGATTTTTGCAAATATTGAATAATCTGTTGAAGATTAAAAATGGCAATTTCGATAAAAGTATGTGCTCATCAATGTGTTTCACGAATGATGGTGATGATGTTACACATGATAAGTCATTAGAAAGGCCCCGAATTACTTTCGCATCGTCATCATCATCATCGGTTTCTTCTAATTCCCCTCAACCAGTGAACCAAAAACCAAGCACTGGTGCCAGTAATGATGAAATGAATTACGAATTTATATACTCTTCCGGATCAACGCCGTTCGTTCCATCGATGCAATTCGATGAATCTAGCGAATTTAACGAATTGTTTTCTCCTCCAAATACCAACGCATTCATCCCAGAGATCTCGTCATTATTGTTTGAAAATGTGAACAATAATTATAATTTATCGATTCCGCATACCGTTGACTGGGCGGAATGGTCAAATTGGACTGAATATATAATGAAATTGCAAGCTTCCAAGAATAATCAATAACCATGATCGACATGTAGAATCGTTATTTTAGTTTTACCTGCTTTTTTATACAAAAACTCTATTGCCATCGACACACTGTATATTCTATAACCGGATATAGACAATCCCAATTTTATAAATAAATGTTATTTGTCATACAAATAAAAGCAATTAAAGAAAAGTCAAAGTAAATACTTTATATGACCTTGCACGTTATTGTTTGAGATAACTACGGATGTTAGATGGTTAAATCAATTAGCCCGAATCGAACTTAACCCATTCCACTCCTGCATGTTTTGCTGTCGAACAGACAATTCAAAACATTGAACATGAATCCAATATGAATAAATAAAGTTAGTCTTTGCTATGCACATCGTATCCAGTGTTGTCGTCACCGGCGAGTCTGTCGCTAAAACGGCTCACTCTTCACGTGACGATAATCCGAACGCTTGGATTTCGGCACTAAATAAGGTAAGGCTTTAACTCCGAGGCGGATTACGATTTGACCGACTTCCGCACTTGCTAGTCTCTTCTTGACCGTCGCTCTCTCTTTAGGCGCGTCTCAAGACTACAAGTGTCTCTCTTTACGGTGCCAAAAGGTAACTCGGCTTCTTTTATTCTTAAAGACATTTACTTTAATGTAGTGGCGCGGATTTAGTGTTTACTTTAGGAATGCAGTATCGTTTATTGTTTAAAGCGAAATAGCATTTATTTAATAAAGCGCGAGTGTGCAAAAACAATCAAGTGTCATCAAACGAAACTCTCAAGCTCCGATCTCCAACCTCCTCTTCCTATTCTACCTAAACTATCTATTTATATGCCTTCTTGACGCGTGTTTACCCAGTTCATGCGATTACTAATTATTACGTCATTGCACCATCAACACTATTGTTACGCGACGCGCCACAATATCGCGCTCCCATCCCTATTGTTCCCACAACACCAGATAGGTTCAAGTCTCAAAGTCAGGCTAAAACCTGACCCTCCGTTAAATATTTGAGCAGGATATTTCTGGCTCCATTGCGTCCCGATCCATCTCAACCTCGCACGAATCATATTTACACGTTTTTGATCCGCCGAGATCATTTTTTTACGAATCTATAATTCCCACACGTCTTTGATGTACTCTTTGGTGCATTCATGACCTTGCAACCTTTAAACTCCCTCGACTTATGATGTAAGAACATTCGAAACCTGAAGTGCAACCAAGTTAACATCTCATAAGCAGTCTTTGACTGAATTTTCGCTTGCTCTTCAAAAATAATCCTCGAAGACTCGAAATTAAGTAAAATAATCTCGTAATTCAGACATCTTTTTTCTCAATTGGAATCTCTTTCTCTTGTTTGTTCTTCCCAAAGCAAAATCTTTGTCGTTCTGTAATTTGTTATATTATTTAAATATATTATTAAAATTACCGTTACCTTGCTCGATTAATTGACCGTCAGGGTCATAACCGATCATAAACGTGTGAACACCTGGATCAAGCGAGATTGCTATACCTTTCCCTGAACATCATATTGGTTATTGACGATATCCAAAGAAACGAAGCATGCAAGTAAAAATGTCCCATAAGATTCATGGTCTTGCTAACCGTATTATTGATATCTTTAGGTGATAGTTTTTAGGAACGCGAATTTGCCTCTGTCCTTATTTTAGTTCCTAGCAAGAATCGTACTTTATTAGAAAATGATTTCCATGCAACTTCTAGTTTGTTTTGTATACAGCTATCAATTGTCGAATTTCGTACGAACGTAATTCCCTGGGGTCTCTTTTACCCAGAGGAGTTCTTCAGTTGTAAAGCACTCATCGTTCAGGTAATGCTTTCGTATGACGCTCTTGTCGTTGATTCCATCGCTTTACACTATCATTAGAACTTTGTTGTACGTCCATCTCACAGCTCTCATCTGCTTTCTTGACTTTTTTATTTCTTTGGGTGTTGGGTAAATTCGTATCTTTCATGTTTCTAATCTCTCTTTGTCGTTTTCGGTTTCCAGCTGATCTGAACCCATTATATCTTGTAAAGATATTTATAGAATTGTATAAGATTATTAGTATTTGTTTTATTTATTGTCTAATTCCATTTGGTTCTTTGTAGCCTTCTCACCTTTTTTTTAAAAAAAATAAGAGAATTGCTAGGGAATTCGCTTATCAATATACAGTATAAAATTTGTTTGATGATTTTTCATAAAATAGTAGAATGTAAAATATGAAAATTTAATTAAAAGTCAAATATTAATACTCCGAAACATAATTATTAACTTGTATTAAACATACATAATGGTTTTCTTTCAGACACTTAATATCGATTATGGCTTATTATATATGAATCTAATTTGAATATTTATAAATTTTTATATTAAATACAATGATATAATACAGTATTAACAAGATAAGATATGCAAAATTAAATAATAAGATTTATACAATCACCAGATTATTTGAAATTGTAATAAAAGATTATTATTAATATTTAAGTAATTAAACTCGATACCTAAACCTAAGAAATAATATGTCTAAGAAAATATTATATCAAGAAAATACCATATAAAATAGTTGTTACAATATATGGTATATAGTTTATGATATTAAAGTAATACTGTTTTTCATTTTGTTTTTTAGATATTAATAAATATTTAAGTAAGAATAATTATTATAAATTTATAAGTTTGTAGTATAATAAGTGATGCTTTTGCATAATCATAAAATAATTTCTAGTTTAATTTTATTAAAAAATTAAAATTTTCACATATAGCTTTACAAATAATAATAATAAAATATATAACATAATCAAGTTAATACTAGTAAACTCTTTTCCAATTTCACAATTTTTTTGAAAAACTTTCTTTTTAAAAAATTCTATAAAACAAGAAATAAAAAACATTTCGAAATGTCTTTCTATTATAATTTTTTTTTTCATTTATTAACATTGAAAAAAAAACTTTTATTATTATTATTATTGAGAATAAATTTTTTTTTAAACAAAAAACTTTTAAATATTTCTTAATATTAAATATTAAATATATTAAATAAAAAACAAAATATTATTTCTATTAAAACGGATATAACATAAATATTTTTTTCAAATTTTATTATATATAAATCAATTTTAGAAATTTAATTATAAAAATTCAAACTATATAAAATGAAATGTTTAATTAAATTTATTAAAACTTAGATATCTTGGTAATAAAAATCAAATAAAGTAAGATTTTGTTTAAACTATTTTTGATACTTATATGTAAAGATGGGTTCCTAAATTAAAGGCAAAGACATAATTCAAATGTCTTTTACTATTAAAAAAGTTTTTTTAAAAAAAATATAAGACCAAAAAAAAAACTATATACAAAAGTTTTTTGCAATTTAGGTCACTTGATTCAAGTGTTTTTTAAATTATGTTTCTATTAAATTAATAAATAATTAATTATGTTCCTTTAAAAGGAATATAATTGATCTGCAAAATTTTATATGTTAAATAATTAAGGGACCCATCCTTACTTACAGTATATGTATATAAAAAAATAGAAATTAATTAATTTCTTTTATATATGTAATTAAAATCTGTATATTATTGTAAAAATTTTTTTGCTTTTATTACGTTACTATTCAATAAAAAAAACTTTTAAAATATTTTAAAATATTATAAAACATAAAATTTTTTAACATATTTTTAAAATAATATTTATTATATTTATACTTATTTAAATAACAAAAAAATATTATTGAGTATATATAATATTTATTATTTTATTATTTTTATTTTATTTTATTTTTATAGTATATAAAATCTTTTAATGAATCAATAAAAACTTATTATTAATATATGTATATTTTTATAAAATATTTATGTAATAAAAATAACTATTTAAAAGAAATTTTTTTATTTTTGTAAAATTCAAATTATATTTTTGTTTTAAAATTAATAAAATAATTATTTCTTCTAAATTTATATTTTTTATAATTTTTTTCTTGACTAAAATACAATTTATTTATTGTTTAAACTATTACAATATATTTAAACTCTTATAATTTTTAATTTAATTAATTAAGTTCCTATTAAAATATATAAATAATCAAGTTATTATATAAATATTTTTAAGGATTTTAAAAATTAAATCAATAGAAAATAATTTATATTATATATATAATTTTTTAAAAAGATTAATATAAAAATTTTATTAATTATATATTTTTTAAATTGTATTATTATTTATTTAAAATATAATAATAATAATAATAATAATAATAATAACATCACATGTTAATATTATATAAAACTTAGATATTGTTTTTTTTTTTTTTTTTTAAAACACTAGCTGGGCCTTGCCCGGTATACTTTATTAGTTTGTGATGTTTACATTAGTT